TCCACACCTTTGACTCCCATTTCACACAAACAATGAAAGTTACAAAAGTGGTGCTGACGGAGCTCAGTCCATCCATCAGTGTCAGACCCTCTGACCTCTGACCTCTGACCTCATTGTTCAACGTTTTCCAGCTCAGGAATTTCTGGAAATCCAATTCATCTATATTTTTCTTACAAGTCAAAAAGAGAAAAATGAAGTTCTGGGTCCTGGACTACAGTAGGACCTCAAGACCCAGAAGAAGTCTGACCCTCTGACCCCAGACCAGAGGGACCGTGGAGATGTCTTTCATCCTCTTCTTTGGCACCTACTCCATGACAATCACCCTGAAGAAGTTTAAGTTCAGCCCCTTCCACCTCAGGTGAGTTGTCTGTCCTGCTGCACCAGTCCTGGAGACTCCAGGTCCTCCATGTCCTTCAGTCCTGGTCCGTCAGGTTCTGGACTTCTTCAGCCCTGACTGAAGTGTGGACTAAGTTCTGCTGCATTAGGAGGAAACAACGGAGAGTCGATGAAATATAAATGTGTAAATCTTAGTGTAAGACCAGAGCAGAATTATTCATCAGATTATTGGATCATTTATTCATGTGCTGAGAGCAGAGGTGGACACTCAGCATGTTCTGGGTTTAATAATCACGTGAAAGGCCCTGGTCCTGGTCCTGGTCCTGGTCCTGGTCCTGGTCCTGGTCCTTCTTCACTGACCTCCGTGACTCAGACCAGACCGAGTCTGAACTGGTTTTTTAAAAATCCCAGACTTCTAGACATTCTCCGGTCTATAATGAGACAGGAAGTGGTTTTAAAGGCAGTGGATGGTGCTGAGGTTGTTGGTTCTAGTCCCTCGTGGTTTGTTAAAGGGGCGGAGACTAAGGCATGAAAAACTGCAGCAGAAAAACAAACAAAAATAACCAGGTTTTTACTGAGTCTGTGGTACCGTGGTCCAGTCCCTGAACCTGAACTCTACTGGTTCTAGTCTTTGACTCCTTCACTGGACCCGTCCCTGCACCTTGGTCCCTAACTCTCCGGGGTCTTGGTCCCTCACTCTCCGGGGTCTTGGTCCCTAACTCTCCGGGGTCTTGGTCCCTCACTCTCCGGGGTCTTGGTCCCTAACTCTCCAGGGTCTTGGTCCCTAACTCTCCAGGGTCTTGGTCCCTAACTCTCCAGGGTCTTGGTCCCTAACTCTCCAGGGTCTTGGTCCCTAACTCTCCAGGGTCTTGGTCCCTAACTCTCCAGGGTCTTGGTCCCTAACTCTCCAGGGTCTTGGTCCCTAACTCTCCAGGGTCTTGGTCCCTAACTCTCCAGGGTCTTGGTCCTGCCTGTTGCTGGACTGTTGTCGTCAGTGACCAGTGAAATCATCGGTTCTCGTCCCTCCGTCTCTCAGGGTGCGTGGGCCGCAGGAACTCGTGCTTGATTAAACTTTGTGGCGGCGGCGAACACTGAAGTCATCCATTAAACTGTGAGGAGTGAAATCAGGCGACTGCCTCCTCCTCCTCCTCTTCCTCCTCCTCCATCTCTGGATGGAGACAGACGTGGACAGCAGTGGACCAACACTGGAGACAGAGATGAGTCACACATTAGTGGCTATGGTTCAGTTGATGCTGAAGAGAAGAAAAAGACAAAGACGAGCTCTGTCTCTGGGGACGTCCATCTTCTGTCCTACACTTCAGTGTCCACTCTTGATGCTCTTGGTGCAGTTTTGGCGACCCCTACAGTACGTCTCAGATTATATTTTTTTCAGATTTGCCCCGTCCAGCAGATGGCGTCCTCTGGGCCTCTGATTCACTGCAGGAGTTCAGTTTTGTTTCAGTGACACAAAGTGACCACTAGAGGCAGCAGCTGACCAGCAGCTCTGACCTCCCTGTGACCAAGGAGCTGCAGCTTCAGCAGAAACAGATCCAGACGTTTCTTTACCTCAGCCGTCGACACCGAGACCAACGGGACACACACACACACACACACACACACACACACACACACACTAGTCAAACCTGTGTGTGTGTGTGTGTGTGTGTGTGTGTGTGCGTGCCTCAGGTCCAGTCATTATGAAAACTGAGGAGTCAACAGAATAAACAGCTGATGGACTAACTCTCCATCTGGTCTCTGTCTCACACACACACACACACACACACACACGTGGTGTTGCCCAGGTTTCTCCGTCAGCTCCAGTCGTTATTAACTCCAACACCGGGAGTTTTTGGCTGCAGCTCAGAGAGAGAGAGAGAGAGAGAGAGGGAACAGTTCAAGAAAGACTTCAACAAAAGCAGCTAAAGGTTAGCCAGTTAGCCAGTTAGCCAGTTAGCCAGCTACAGCATCAGCTAACTGTTAGGAC